GGATGGGTGGGTGGTCGGGTTAGGTGGGTAAGGTGGGTGGGTGGGAGGATAGATGGCTGGGTTGGCTGGGTGGATGGATGGATGGGTGGGTGGTCAGGTTAGGTGGGTAGGTGGATCAGTGGAAGGATAGATGGCTGGGTTAGCTGAGTGGATGGGTGGATGGTCAGGTTAGGTAGGTAGGTGGGTGGGTGGCAGGATAGATGGCCGGGTTAGCCAGATAGATGGATGGATGGGTGGGTGGTTGGGTTAGGTGGGTAGGTGGGTCAGTGGGAGGATAGATGGTTAGGTTAGCTGGGTGGGTGGATGGATTGGTGGGTGGTTGAATTAGGGAGGTGGGTGGGTGGGTGAGAGTATAGACGTCTGGGTTAGCTGGGTGGATGGATAGGTGGGTGGCTGGTTGGGTTAGGGAGGTAGGTGGGTGAGTAAGAGTGTAGATGGCTGGGTTAGCTGGGTGGGTGGATGGATGGGTGGGTGGTTGGATTAGGGAGGTAGGTGGGTGAGTGAGAGTATAGATGGCTGGGTTAGCTGGGTGGGTGGATGGATGGGTGGGTGGTAGGGTGAGATGGATGATGGAATGGATGGTTGGATGAGTAATTGGGGGCATGAGTGGATGGAGGCTCAGGTGGATGGACGATGGGTTGGGTGGTGGGATGAGTAGGTGGGGAGGTTATTTGGTTTGAGAATAGAATCTGTGGAGAGGGAGAGACTGAATGGGGGCTGTGAGGAAAGGCTTTCCTGGTCCCCCACATTTAGCAAGGCCAGCAAGGAAAAGAGGTGTCCCTCTTGCCTGGACAAAGTCCCAAGTTTCTCTGAGATGGGAGAGGCCCCTGAGTGCCCTTTGGTGACATATACTCCAGGGACTGTGGTCAGAGCTGCTTCACCAGTGGAGTGGGGTCGCTCCTTAACACCCTTCCCTGCCCGGGACTTTTGTTTGTTTGTTTGTTTGTTTTTGTTTTTGAGATGGAGTTGTACTCTGTCGCCCAGGCTGGAGTGCAGTGGTATGATCTCTGCTCACTGCAACCTCCGCCTTCCAAGTTCAAGCGATTGTCCTGCCTCAGCCTCCCAGGTAGCTGGGATTACAGGCACATGCCACCATGCCCAGCTAATTTTTTTTTTTGAGACGGAGTCTCGCTCTGTTGCCCAGGCTGCAGTGCAGTAGCCGGATCTCAGCTCACTGCAAGCTCCACCTCCCGGGTTTACGCCATTCTCCTGCCTCAGCCTCCTCAGTAGCTGGGACTACAGGTGCCTGCCACCTCGCCTGGCTAGTTTTTTGTATTTTTTAGTAGAAACGCAGTTTCACCATGTTGGCCAGGCTGGTCTCAAACTCCTGACCTCAAGTGATCTGCCTGCCTCAGCCTCCCAGAGTGCCGGGATTACAGGCATGACCCACTGCACCCAGCCTCCAGGACCTATTTAGAGGCAACTTACTCCTCCAAAATGAATTTTCATTCAAAAAGTACCCATGCCCCAACTTCCGCTTGAGTGGCTGAAGTCATACCCTCCCCTAATCATGATTCCAATGAAAATGAAAAACGGTATCATTTCCCAAAAGCAGCGGTGACTTTGTCACCCCCGACTCAGAGGCCCAGCAGGTGCATGAAGCACTAACCCCCAGCTGCGGAGAGCAGGGTTCCGCACACAGGCTCTGTGGGATGCGCCTGCCCACTGCCCGCTCGTGAATGAGGCCCTGGGAGTTAGAGTTAGTGAGAGATGGGGGCGCCCCCGCATGGAAACACAGGGCTGCAGGAAGGCCGAGTGGGTGGAGCAGCCAGCTCCTGTTGCAGCCTCAGCCCTGGGCAGGGGCAGCTGTGCCCCAGCTTCTCACTCACAGAGCTGGGAACAGCAACGTTCCCTGTTCTCAGCATCCACCCTGGCCGCCCCCCGGGGTCCTTCCTCTTGCTCTCTTGCTCCTCATGTGGCTTTTTTAGCTCCTCCGGTATCCTGAGCAGGCCCCGCTCCCTCGTGTGCCCCCTCCCTGGAGACCTCCTAGCCCTGCCTCAGCTTCCTTGCCCTTCTTTCCTGGCACCTCACTGACTGCCTCCACACAGTTACCAGGCTCTGTAGGGCTTGGGATGTCTGTTAACGTGTTCATCGTCTGTTTTCTGAATTAGATGGTAAGATGCTTGCATCCATTTTATGACCGCTGTATTCACAGTGTCTAGAACAGTGCCTGGCACCTAGTAGCTGCTTAATCAGAAGTTTTGGAAAGATGCAAGGAAGGAATGGACGAATGAGTGGGATAGGTCAAACCATACCACACAGAGTCTGACAGGTTACAGTCAGGAGGGCAGGTTCACTCTGGGAGCAGCAGGGAATGTGGATTTATTCCAGGGCAATGGGGACTCACCGAGGGTGGTGGAGGAAGGGGGCAGCTCCCATGACCGCCTGACTGTCTTCTTTCCTCCCCCAGGTCCACCTCCACCTCCTCACCCGTTCGCCCGGCTGCCACATTCCCACCTGCCACCCACTGCCCACTGGGCGGCACCCTCGATGGGGTCTACCCTACCCTCATGGAGCCCGTCTTGCTGCCCAAGGAGTCTCCCCGGGTCGCCCGGCCAGAGCGGCCCCGAGCAGACACCGGCCATGCCTT